CCTCCTCTCCTCTCCTCTCTCTCTCTCTCTCTCTCTCTCTCTCTCTCTCTCATAAATTTGTTTTCCTCATGTAGCTATTTCAAACTCATTTGGTTTTGGAGGACACAACTCGGTTGTGGTGTTTGCACCTTTCAAGCCATGATCAGTTCAAACATAATTTTTGGGGTATCTGATGGTTACCTTTCTCTAGTGAGGCCAGGAAAAGTAGAGTTGTTTCAAGCTGCCAAATTTTCTGCCAAAGGAGGCAAATTTTGCTATGAGAACAGTCTTTCTTAATATGAGAAAAACATTTCTATTCTTTCAATAAAGCCTTTGCACCTATTTTTTTTCCTAATTAAGTCATTTTATTGACACTTTTGGATGGCACTGTATTGTGATATTACCAAATAGTTTCTTATGACTGTGTCTTAATAGTGTGATGGTCTCAAGGAGAGAAAAAAAAAACTCCTGCCCTATAAAATATGTTATATATATATATTAGTTTTCATATTTGAATTTTTTTAAATATTGTTTATGTATATATATTCGCGTGCTGCGTGTGTAATAATTTTACGAACATATAGTTAATATCTATTAACTAAGAGCATGCAATTTGTTTGATCAATTATGATTAAACTGGAATTTCTAGATTGATATTAACTAGAAAAAGGTATGTCCAGAAATGTTAATATTTGGAGAGTTGAAATGACAAACATTATATTTGTGCTTGCAGATATGTCCCAGACTGCCCCATTTCAAATGTTTCGGTTTGACTCGTTAGAAAATGAATAAAAGTCCTCGCGTGCCCTCTTCCTCTATGATATGCATGCTTCCTCCTCCATCATACATAAATATCGAAATTATGTATACCAAACTAAAATGTCAGTAACCTGGATTTTATAACATTAGATCTACAACAGAGACATAAATATAAATATCGAAATTATGTCCACCATAATCTCACAGTTCAATGATGACCAAGGAAAACTGAGCTACAAGTCAATGATGTCAAAACATAATCTACAACAGAGACATAATTTCGAAACATAAATATCGAAATTATGTCCACCATAATCTCACAGTTCAATGATGACCAAGGAAAACTGAGCTACAAGTCCAAAAATTTCTTTTTTGTTTGAAAAAGAATAATTTCCATCATGAGGATTGAAGGAAGGCCTCCATTTACTTTCCTCACTCCCTGAGGGTCCAACATGATCTGGCTCCACCTAGGAAGCCAGCTTGGATCCTGCCTGTATGACTGAAGGTCCAGCCGCGACCGGAGCAGCTGCTGCATCCCAACCGTCAGCGGCCACAATGCCTGCTGTGACACAAGACAAAAGGGAAAGTGTCTTCATCAGCACAACAGCCAGGGGAGAATCTCTTAAGATCACTGTTGACATAATGAAACAATTGCGCATCGTAGTGAAGCACAAAGATAGATTTTCTATTGTACCAACACTGACACAATCTTCAGGTAGTCTATCCTTGATTATTGCAAACCAATATAGTAAATAAATGTGTCTCAGAAAGTGCATTGCATGGGAGATAAGAATACTAGTAACTTGAAGTTGATTGTGAACTGCTATGAAAGAGAAGAATAGTGAGTTAAAGGATCATGATGGGAATGATAGCAATGACAAAATTTCAAACAAGATAACATGACATTCAACATGATTGGTAAAATGCATCCACAAATTCCAACAGAGATGGATTGAAAAATAAGTATGCTGGATGAGACAATTGAACTGTGTTTAACATGCATTGCCATGGTGAAAGGGATACTTGTCCATGCTGGTAAGATAAAGAAAATGGGATGTCTTTGACCTTGATTAGCGGTCCAGTCAGCACCAGGTGCTGCAGGAACAGCAGGCACAGCTCCCATATCAGGTGCCCATTACTCAGGCCGTACACTGATCAGTTGGCACCATACTAGTGTACTCAGCAACAGCACCATATTCAGGTGCCACAGGAGTTTCAGCCTCTTCCTGCTCTTTGGCCTCTTCAGGGATCCCTAGAAAAATAGATTAACCTGCATATGCCACAATTCACTCTTAGTTAATACAAGTACATGACCCAAGTTTAAAGAAAAGGGCAACAACTAACATGGAATTACAAATACAGAGTCATCCCTAAGACCATAAAATGGACAGGTTGACAAAGAAAGCTATTTCACATTACAGGGAGAATTAAACTTGAAGCTAAGATGGTCGACAAAAACAAAGTTAATGCAATCCACACAATACAAATGCTAACTGCTTTGTGGATGGGAATGGCACTATCGTCACTCAAGGAAGCAGCACACATTAGGCCTCCACCCCACTCCAAGTGGAATGCTGGGCTATTTGGGACGCTTTCACCAAAGCTTCTCAAATGAATTATCTGAATATCATTGTCAAATCTGATTCTTTAGAGGCTGTGTTAATTTGTAATAGAGATAAATCTGCCCTTTGTATTTGTGAAATATATGTAAAGATATAATTATGCTGGCAGGTTCTATGGATGTCTTATTTTTTGAGACGTCAACAAGTTGAACAATTCTGTAGCTCACAACCTTGCCAATCAGGCAAGGATTTTTTGTCCCCCTCCAATCTCGGAGGGTAATTTTGTGGACTGCTACTGTCCTGATTCCTAATTGAAAGTTGAATTTTCTTTTTTTTTAAATACAAGTACTAACACATGAAGGAGCAAAAATAAGAGAAGTCAGCAGATCTTACCATTACTTCCCACTTGCGTCCAGGGGCAATAGTCCGACGCATTTGCAAACCCACCTGGTTAACAACCAGAAGAGGCAACCAATATGTGGTTTACCCTTATTATTGGCAGGAATTCCAATGTCAACATATCTCATCAGTGAATCTGTGTTGCAGAAAGCAATGGTGGGAATATTACCAAGAGCAGATTCCTTGATTGGCTGCAGAAAATGTTGAAAGCGGAGATCAGTTACCGATTTGCTTTGGTAGTCACAAAGTCCTTCCAAGATCAATAATGACTCACCTGGTAATCTGTTCTAGGGTCAGTTAGAAAGAGGAGACGAGGTTCACTGAAAGAAGTTTGAAGTTGATTAGTGAAGGTTCCAGGGGTGTGCCTCCCAGCATTGGATGAGCTCCAGTATACTGTGCAAATTTCAGTACAGCTCTTTGATCATAACGTCTGGCAGGCCGAACAATGATATCTTGTGGGTTTTCAATGGCAACACAAGCTGAAGGTTTTCCCATGTTTTACCAAGATTGATTAAAAAAACACCTGCACAAGAAAATTAAACTTTTTGATAGAGAGAGTACTTCAATAGCTACGTTCCTTGTTATAATGTCATCAGTCAATTCGTGCTCTATTGATTAAAGAAATAAAAAATATGAAAATTATATAACAATATGTTAATAACATAACAATATGTATCCCACAAAGATCCCTTCTTTGGTTTTTGATCCCACCCAAGGTCCCTTCACACACTTTTTGCCATAATGTATTCCCACAAAGATCCCTTCTTTGGTTTTTGATCCCACCCAAGGTCCCTTCACGACTTTTTGCCATGTACCATAAGCCAAGCAGAATCTATGCAAGGTGGGTGATTCCACTGATCCACACAAAAGCGTTTGCCAGTACACAGCCAGTCCAACAAGGTCCACACAAATCACATAAACCTATATCACAACACACAGCAGCATTGCATACACCCGCAATTGCGTTCAATCAGAAAACGGAAGCGACTACGACGAATCAAAGGTGGAGCCTCGACTGACCGTCGGGTCTTCTCCTATAGACGTATCGCTCCATCTGGAAGTTGCAGTTCCTGGCGCCGATGTGGACGTTGGCCGCGAGCATCATCTGGATGTCCTGCTCATTCGGTGAGAGAACCCTCGTCGCCGCCATGACCGCACACCATAGGACGAAGAACGAGAGCCAAACTTAGAGTTTCTCGTCGGCGATTGATCTCAATTGATGCAGAGGAGAGCCGCGAGCCGGCCAAAGCTTAGATTTTGGTTGCACACCTGAAACCCTAACGTTCATATATAAATGACGCACAGCGGTTAAGTCAAATTATATGAAATGACTACAACACCCATAAAACTTGTAGCAAATCACCAACAAATCTAGGCTTGTATAGAGCCCATATGATCCGGTCACAGCTTATTGGGCCGTAAAAGGCCCATTTCAAGAAATGCCTCACTGTGTCATATAACAATTTAATTCAAATCATTTATCTTTTTTTATATGGAGTAGCAATAATCAATAATTCAAAATGGTATTAAAGTGGAAGGCTATCAATAATTTATATTCATATTTTTTTATACCATGCAATGATTTAATTTCACATGTTGAGTATCATTTGTTCGGGTTAATTAATATATGATGAAGAGTATTATGACATATATATATATATACATATATACATACATATATATATATAAATATAATATAAATATTAAAATCCAGAGGGGGGTAAATATGCTATTCCAAAACTTGAATGATAGGCTGACCCTTTCTCCTTATTTGGGCTTAGAAGATGGGCTAATATGTCTAAAAGGAAGGCCCAATTGAGATCTCCATTAGAAGAATTTAAAACGGCCCAAACCCGTCTTCGTTCGATAAATTGCGAAGATATCCCAAATGTTGGCGGGAACGCTTTGGGTGTCTGTCACTCTGGACCGGCGATCGATCGACCTGGAAACCCTAGCACGGGTCTGAGGAATGGGGAGAGGGGAGGAGGAGGAGTTGCGGGCGGCGAGGCGGGGGTACAAGGAGGCGGCGAGGGTGGGGAACCACGAGGAGAAGGCGCGGTGGGCGAACGAGCTCGGCGATATCCATAAGCGGCGCGGGGAGTACGTCGAGGCCCTCCGCTGGCTCCGTGTCGACTACGATATCTCGTCCAAGCACCTCCCACAGAAGCAGCTCCTTCCTACCTGTCAATCCATCGGCGAGGTCTACCTCCGCCTCAACCGCTTGAAAGAAGCCCTCGTCTACCAGGTTTCTCCCGGTGCCATTCGATCCCCCAAACCATTTTTCGCATATCCTTTCTTATCGTAGCATTTAGCCCATATTTAGGTGTTAGATTATTTTGCTTTTCTTTTGAACTTTGTCTTTTAATTTAGTGCCCTAATGTTTCTTGAATGGGTTTCGCTTCTTTGGTTTGGTACGAGACCTGTGTAGGTGCAATTCTTATCAGTTGTTCCAAAATTTAGTCTTTATGCTCCAAACGGGTGAGAATATAATGCCAACTGAGTGATTTACTGAAGGTACCGGTTTGAGTTCATCTTACACTATCTGCATTTAATTTCACAGTGTCATTTCCTTATAAATTTCTTATGCCCTAGGTTCTAATTGTTGAGCTTTGATAGTGAATTTTTTTCCGAACGGGCATTGTCTTGCAGAAGTGCCGTTGTAGAATGGCTAATCTCAATAACTATTGAAACCATGCAAGATTTTTATTCACTTGACCAGGTGATTGTGGCCACTAGGATTAAATAATTTATGGCATGCACTCAAATGCTGCTACAACTACCCTCCTTTTTCATCTCAGTCGGATTCTAACTTGTTTATGTTGTTCTCTCCACACGTACTTTTGGAACTGATTTTTCAGATGCTTTCCTTTCACATCGTCCATGTTTGCTTTATTAATATTATAGCATCTCCTCCGAATACAGCTTCTTGTTTATGCTTAAACTGTGCCAATGATCTGATTACTTGTGATCTGACACATGGCTTACTTTTGTTTCTGTTATCTTGCAGAAGAAGCATTTACAACTTGCCAAGGATTCTGATGACCTTATTGAGCAGCAAAGAGCAAGCACACAACTTGGTCGAACTTATCATCAAATATTTACAGAAACTGAAAGTGATCATCATGCATTGCGAAATGCAAAAAAATATTTCAAATTAGCCATGAAAATTGCATTTACTCTGAAAGAGACTCCTCCATCTATGAAATCTGGCTTCTTTCTCAAGGAATTCATAGATGCACATAACAATATCGGTATGCTTGAGATGGACCTTGATAATTATGAGGAAGCTGAAAAGATTCTTCTCCAAGGTTTAAAGATATGTGATGATGAAGAGGTTAGTCAACATGATGATGCCCGCAGCAGGCTTCATCATAATCTTGGATATCTATATACTGAACTGCGGAAGTGGAGTACTGCCAGGGAGCACATTGAGAGAGACATCTTAATTTGTAAAAAAATTTGCCACCTGCAAGGTGAAGCTAAGGGCTTTATCAATCTTGCAGAGCTGCATCATCGAGTTCAGAAATATGATGATGCAATCCGTTGTTATCAGAAGGCACTGGATTTGGCAAAATGCTTGGAAGATGAAGATGCATTAGTTAATCAGATCAATCAGAATATCAAAACTGTCAAGGAAGCAGCTAAGGTGTTGGAGCAGTTGAATAAAGATGAACAGAAACTTAAAAAGTTGATGAGGGCCACATCTGATGCTCGTGGAACTTCAAATGAGAGAAAATGCCTCTTAGAGCAGAATACTTGCCTTGATGGTCTGATTGAAAAGGCTCGCATCATATTTGCATGGCCAAAAGTAAGTGGATATCATAGTTATACTTATAATACATGTTTCTATGCCTTTGTTGCTTCTATCATTTGGAAATATGGGTCCCAAACAACCAATTTCCTTTCATGAACTTGATAATAATGTTATATATTATTTTGTGAGGTTATTGGCTTATAATGAGGACTACTTTGTCAGTTGTCTTGTTGTAGGATTTTATTCATACTAAGATAGGGACAGCAAAGGACAATGTGCTATTCCTTTATATTGATAATTGCATAATTCGAGTGGCTTAGCTGCGGTGTTTATTTCATTCTAAGATCACCTTGAAATTGAATCATATTTGACAATGCAACTAACTTATATCCAACTAAAAGAACTGCAATTTGCTTTTTTCCTTTGATGTGGTTAGTCTCAATGTGGATTCACATGGGCAACCTGTACATTTAGTTTGTAGTTCAGTTATTTTTTAATTAGCAGCATGCAAGTTTGTTTCACAGTGATTCACTTTATTCCAAGATGTCTAATGGTCCTTTTTCTCTTCCTAAATGTTTGTGTTGTCTAGCATCTAGAGTTTGCTAAAAGGAAGAAAAGGGTGGCAAGTGAACTTTGTGACAAGGAAAAACTAAGTGATTCTCTTCTGGCTATTGGGGAGTCTTACCTGAAGCTTAGGAACTTCAGCAAAGCCCGCAAGTGGTACATGAAAAGTTGGAATGTGTACAGGTCAATTGGGAACTTGGAGGCAAGTTGGTTTTAGGTTCTTTGTTGTAATATTTCAATTTCACATATACAAAAGAGATTTTTTTCTTCGGGAATGCTAGCTACATTGGTCAATCAATGAACATGGATAAATAATATCACCAGCCAGATCCACTACCTGGCATCATATATTGCATGGCACCTGAATTAATTGGAGAGGGTGATTCAGCATCTTAGTATTTCCAATAAATACTCATTGTGAAATATTAAATTTTCAGGGACAAGCACTGGTCAAGATAAATATTGGGCAGATATTGGATGCCTCTGGTGACTGGGCTGGTGCATTGGAGGCATTTGAGGAGGGTTACAGGTTTTTATGTCTTGAACTTTACAACACTAAATTTGTATGATTATGTCCAATATCCGAGACATGAAGTTGTTGTGATCTATAGATTAAATAATAAGAAATACAATTTTATGGGTGCTTTCTGGATTAAGCAAGCTTCTAAATGCTTTATTCCCTTGTAGAATTGCAGTTCAAGGTAATCTGCTAACCGTACAGATGACTGCACTTGACAACATGCACTACAGTCACATGATTAGATTTGACAATGTTGATGAAGCCAGGTACTTTTAGTGTCCATGCTAGCTAAATAAGTAGGAGAATCTTCGTTACTCAAATATTTTATATAAGCATGTCTGCTTTAGGAAATTGCAGCAGGACATTCAGATGTTGAAGTCTTTACTAAAAGAAGATGCCTTAAAGGACCAGCAAAGTGATTATTGCTCTGAAACTGAAACAGAAGGTGGCAATTTATCTACTGATATTCTTGGTTTGTCTGCATCACAAGATTCAGATGATTCTGCTAAAAGCAGGCCTAGCCTTCTTGCTTGTGTTGAGGATCTTGATGATGATGTTCCTCTGGCATCACTTGGCCGTTTGAGTAAGAGTTCAGCAAAAATCAAGATGTCTCAGTTAGATTCTCTTGGTGTGAGGACTACTGCATCATCTAATCATGCTCAAGCTTCCTCCAGAGATTTAAGTAAGTCTCGTGATGATCAACAGCACGTTGATCGTAAGCGTGTTCGTGTTGTTCTTTCTGATGATGAAGCTGATGATCCTGATGAGATGAATGGGTCAAGGCAAAAACTTCATAGATCCAGTGAGTACGTAACTGCTCCTGACAGAGGTTGGTATAAAGCAACTTGATATCTTAGACACAAGATTTCTTATGGACCTAGTGGAAAGAAAGATGCTGACTCTCAAAATTTGCTGTTTTACTGTTAATTTTCTTCATGAAGTTTAAAGTGCTTCTTTAATATGTCTTACAGAAAACTTATTTTGTGGAACAACTGCTAACAAAGAAATCCAGGTATCTAAGCATTTGAGTTTTTCTTTCCTTGTAATAGATTCCAGCTGTCTGCTATAAACATTCGTGCATTGTTGCTTGTTCTATATATACTGACATCGAACCAAGTTATAAGTTTGCCAGGATATTTTTGATTGTAAATAGTAGTTCTCATTTGCCAGGATGCTCCGCATAGCTCTGATTCCAAAGATGAACTTAGTGCCTCTGCGCCTATTTATATTGAAGAAAGTACTTGCTCTTTCAAATGCAAAAGCCCCAATTTCACTGTCGATAATGAAGCAGATTTTGGATCTTCAAATGATGCTGGAATAGCAATTGCGTCAAAATCTGCAGCTAGTTGGTCCAAATTGAGCAACGTTGAAGTTGCTGATAGACTTCAGCAGAGCCAGAATGGTGCAGGTGTTGACCAATTGGTAAATAACCGTCATGTAAGTTTTATCATTTCCATCACTATCTTGAATCCAATGGATAGACAGATACAGCGAACAAATGTCTCACACCAGAGGTTGTATTGTAAAGGTTTATATTATGTTGAATCAACAATTTTCTTGGTTGGAATATTTTAACTCACTGCAATAAAGTCTAATGCATAGTTTTCCTTGTACTAGTATTCACTGAAGCAGGTGAACATTCTATAAAATAATTGATAATATTGATTGCATGACTGGTAAATAGTAGGTTTTTTGAACATTTGCATTGGCAAGCTGATGTACAAATCTCTTAGCAATACTGGTTACAGATGATTAAATTTGACTTCAGAAATCCTCTATTTCTTATTAGTTCATATTTAGGCTCATAGTGTATGCTAAGTCGCAGGTGTTCTTAGCTTGTATCTTCTTTTAAACAATCAATTACTTATATATTGGTTTAGTATCTTCTGTCTTTTCTTCGGTTGAAAGAAAGAGTTGATTATATGCCTGTTTTCATCTATAAGATGTAAAAGGGGAGCATAAGGCTTATACAAAATGAGCAAGAGAAAAGGAAATGAAAGATGGGAAAAGGAGTTGGTCCTAGTTAAGTACAGCCTGAGGTTCCAAAATGCCTACCTACAAAAACATAATAATAAAAAAGCAAAGCCAAAAACTATCATCCAAAACTCCATGCAATTAGAGGATTCATGACATGCCACTTCTAATTATTAAGTTTCAAAATACAATTAACTACAGCATCACCAACATTTACTTTTTCTTAATTACGGCATCAATATATTGGTCAACTTAACTGTTTCCTGCCAAATAGTCATTGCTTTAGACAAGTTCTGAAAATTTCTGTAGTTCTTTTCCTTTCAAGTGGCCCATAGCAAAGAAGCAAATTGAATACCAAGCATCTCTATCCTCCTTCCCAATTGTCTCTAGTCTCCACAGGCAAATTCTCTATAAAATATCTTTACAAAAGAAGGATTCTGATTGAAACTAAATATACTTACGGAATATTCTCACAGTTGTTTACCACCAAAATATTAAAAGAATAGCAAACAGCTTCAGTTTTTTGTTAAAAGGCCAATACGTTATTAATGAACTGAAAAAATCTAATTTGCAAATCAATGTCAACTTTTAACTTATTTGTCTGTCAAATTTTTGCTCTGCGTCAAAATGTGACATCATTGTTCTCATGCTGCAGTTTGTCAAAGTTAAAGTTGGTCATGATCTAATCCATGTTGATCTAAGTTCCTGCCTGGAAGATGGCAATCTGGACATTGAATGCCTGAAAGTTGAAGTTGCTTGTACATATTTCCTTCAGCTTCCTGAGCAGAAAAGGTCCAAAGGTGTGTATCATGATTCTGAGGTTAATTAATGGCACATCATTCTCAACAATGGCTTAAAATTTGACTGGCAAATGCATTCCATTTATCACTGCAAGGATTAAAATCAGTTTGTTATGGTACTGGCATACTAGGTGCTGTATGGACTTGTATTGCTTGGTGTCATAGGAAAAATAATAGAAAATTAAACACTGATTTATATTGACCTATATGGTCCGGTACAGTATGATCCTTGGTTGGACTAGTAAATGTAGATTGGTATATACCAGCCTTATTGATATTTGAAACCTTGTTTCATTATTCAGTAAACTATTTAAATTAGAAGTTAAATACAAGATGTTAAAGCTTAAAATTGAAAATGTTCTATAACTGTTGTTGCTTTAGCAGACAAATAAATTAGCTTTACAAGTCAATAATTTATGTTGAGGTTTGTAACTTCAAAACAGTATAGTCATACTTGTAGCATTACCCAATCTCATCTAGCTCTGGAGAAATTCCAGAAATTGTTGGAATTTCTCTGCATTTAGGACAAAACATTTTAGCCAAGAATGTGTCTGATGACCTGTAGTTTTTACTATCCTAAACTTCAATATTTATCCTACCATGGCCCCCATTTTGTCCTCTGAATTTGGTCAGAATGTTTAATGAACTCTGCATTTTTAAATCCAGGTTAATGCATTTCCATGTAATGTTCTCTTAAAGTCAAGCATATACAACACTGACCCAATTAGTATCTAGTTTTTTTATGTGTCACTTGTATTCATGGATCAGTTAAACATCTCTAATATTTTGTTAATGTTGTTTCTGTGAGGTTCCATTTATGTTTGTGCTAAACATTCTCCAGATCACTATGCCATGTTGCTAATAGGCTAGTTTCTCTAGGTTTGCTTCCAGTAGTTGGATGTTTGATGAGCTCTGGTAAAGCATTAGGTTCCTCAGAAGTGATTGAAGACATTGAGCACCAACCCCATGAAAGTATGTGGATTGATGTGGTTATTGATGGTGAGAATCTTTGTGATTTCCTGTAGAAGAATTTGTGATGTGTTTTTGCTGTCCATTCTTATGGTTCTTATGTTATCATTGAAGTATACAACTACATTTTCATTTATTACTACCATGGATTATTTTCAATTTTCTAGCCTTTTGTGTTTGTTTATGCATTTGTCTATACTAATGGTGCACAGTATGTGTGCGTATGTTGATAAACTAAACCAATTTAAAGAGTATAAGATAATAAGTGATACATTTTCCTGGTAACAGTTTGGATAATAAGCGCTTGCATAAATCCAAGACATAAATGTAAAAAGAGTGTAATGTGTCACTGGTTCATGCCTTTGTAGTTGTGCTTAACTTGAGGTTTGGTTATATGGTTGTGACAAGAAAGTCTCCCCATTTACATGATCAAATGCTTAGTACATGATAACCTTTTTGTTTTATTTTCTCTTTGACATTCTTGCATTTCAATAGTTTTGAAAAGCAGCTTACATACCCACTTATGCACCTGCATTTGCAGATGCAGCCCATAGATCTTATACATTTCTTTATGTGATGCCAATATGGCATGTGCCCACATATGTCGACGGTATGTGCTTCATGTGGATGCATATTTCACATATGCAACCACCTTATAGCTTATTTTCTCGAGCCAGCTTGATCTACTGGACTGCCCATCAATAGATTATCTATGACCATTTTTAAGGTATACTGTAAAAGCAGATCAGGGTGCATCCAATACTAGCAGTTGATAATACTAAATATGTCATCATCTACTTACAAATATTAACAATTTTTCTTACATGATTCACAACTTTAGTCGCAATGGCCAATGTGTTTGATTCTTATTTGTTGTTGTGGTAAGGTATACATGAATCATAATTCATGATGATTTGAAATGACAAGAATATTATGAATTAGGAAGAATGAAATGCTAATTTAGAATTTGGAGCCTACCAATGAATGGTGAATTACCTCAAGATTCCTTGTGTTTTTACATTTTTTTTGAAAAATAGAGTCCATATTGTCCACATATGCACCTGCATAGTGCACATGCACTTTGTGGTAACCTAAATGCTTACATTTTTCTTCAACTTTTTGAAACCTCGACTATTTACTTATGTTAGGAATGATTTTATAGCTTGACTTTAATGACATTACAAGAAAACATGAAAATATCTGTTAGTATATCATAGAACAGTATTTCTGTTGTGTAAGTAATCTTTGTTTTTTTGCACTTCACATTTCTTGATAAAGGTCTCACCGATTACTGCTGATGAAGCTCACTTGGACTACCATCTTTAAGTTTATTCTGGTCAAGTTCATCGCGGACTACTTATTTATATATTGTAGTTGCATTTGCTATGATGTTTCTGATCTTTTCTTCTTTTCCTCCTTTCTTATCTTTCCTTTTTTCTTCTTCTGGAAGGATGGGTCCCAAAACGCCTTATGAAGCTGTACATTGATTCTTGTGAGAAATTATCTGAATCAACCAATATGAAGTTGCTAAAGAAATTGTATAACCTGGAGGTAATCATTTCAGTAAATATGACCATGACTTTATTTGGCTCTTATTTTTTTTAGTAGTAGTTGGATAACATCATGTTAATGTCTCACATGACAGAATGAGTCTATAAGCTTGGGTTGTTTCTGTGCAAATAGGTCTCAGAGGACGAAGTTGTAGTATCTGATTGTGAATTGCAAGATGTATCTGTATCACCTTTCCTAAAAGCTCTTCAAGCACATAAAACACTTGCTGTGCTGGATATTTCCCATAATCTGTTAGGTACTGAAATCTTATAATCAAACAATATTGTAGTTGGGTTTTAACTTGGTTTTCCATTTTTATACTCACTTCATATGCATGTACTGTTCCAGAAATCTGGTACTTTTGTGTTCCAAGATTGCTTGACTTGATCTTTTCTTGAAACGTGGTTTGATATGCTAATAGGTAATGAGACTATGGAGAAGATTCAACAAATATTCAATTCATCAACCCAAAAGTATGGTGGTTTGACTCTGGACTTGCATTGTAATCGGTTTGGTCCAACTGCATTATTCCAGGTTCATGTGCAAATATTATTTTCTTTCACATGTTAATGCTGCAAAGGCTCCTAGGTTTCTGTGTTTTAGAATTATCTATGTTGTCTCCGATCCAGTACTATGAGAAAAATATCTGCACATACCATTTAAGTTTCCTGAAGTGATGCTTCTCAGTTAAAGATTTTTTAAATGATCTTTCTTTGCTTCCTTTTTTTCTAGTGAAAAATTTCCTTTCCTGTAACATGGTCTGCTATTTGCAGATATGTGAATGCTCTGTCCTCTCTGCTCGTTTAGAAGTGCTTAATCTGTCTGAAAATCGGCTAACAGATGCATGCAGTTCTTATCTCTCTACTATATTAGAGAATTGCAAAGGTGCATTTCTACCTTATGCTTTTGTTTATGCTATTATTGGTTGCTTTATTATTATTGTTTGTTTCAAGGTATCCAATTTCGAATAATACCATCCAGTACGGGCGGTACGTACCGGTCCGTCAGCTTACCGGTACACGGACCGCCCGTTATCGGATGGAACGATATATATATATATATATATATATATATATATATATATATATATACATATACATATACATATACATATACATATACATATACATATACATATACATATACATATACATATATACATTAATATATATAAATATTTATATATAAATATTTTATAAAAGATGGCGTCGTGTCGCCTTTTTCGGCGACGTCACCTTACATACATACATACATACATATAAATATTTTATAAAAGACGGCGTCGTGTCGCCTTTTTCGACGACGTCATCGAGGCGACGCGACGTCACCTTATATATATATATATATATATATATATATATATATATATATATATATATATATATATATGGGAGAAGGAAAAGGCGACGTCGCCTTTTATAAATATATATATATATATATATATATATACCGAGCGGTATATCGCTCGGTATACAGTTTCGTATCGTACCGAGCGAACGTCGAAACTCCGGTACAGTACGAAATTGGATTTGCAAGGTTGTGTAAGTGTTGCATTTTGCAATTTAGGGGAATATAGATATTGTCAAACAAAGTTCCTTATTAAAGATGAATTCACCATATATATTTATTAAAGGGAATATAGTAGACTTATTTATGGTGGAACATATTAAAGGAATGGAATAGAGCATGGTGTGACTAAATGATCTGTTTTCTAATTGGTAAATTCCAGTTACTTTTACATATTCACCAACAATTATTTGGTATTTTTAATGCCTCACTGAACCTATTTATGTTAAGTACTGGTCATAATAAATGTCAATTAAAGTTTTTCTCATCTGACCTATCTGTCCTTTTGAAATAACTCTTTTACTTGTGAACTATCTTTTCTTTGTAGCACTTTATAGTTTGAACATAGAACAATGCTCCATCACAACTAGAACAGTTGAGAAAGTTGCTGATGCAATAAACGTTGGATCTGTGCTATCACATCTTTCAATAGGTGATTTCAGTGACTCTTTTACATACTTGAGATTAAACCAATTTGTTTATCTCATCATTGTTATCATCATTAAAAATATGTATTCCTGACAGGTAGGAATAACCCAATATCTGGAAATGCAATTGTAAATTTGTTAACCAAACTTCAATCCTTGAAAAGGTATGCTTCCTCATACTGATGTTAACTGATTGATTTTCTTCCAACAGTTCTATTATCAGATTTCATAGACCTTCTTGTTTGTAGATTTTCAGAACTGAGCCTGACTGGTATAAGATTAAACAAGGCTGTGATTGATCATCTCTGCCTAGTCGCTCAATCATCAAGTCTCACTGCATTGAAGCTTGGCGGAACTTATATTAGAGTTGTGTGTAGTTTTTGTGTCTAATCTAGGAACCCAATAATTTGTTAGCTTCTTATTATACTTGGTTGTGACACAGGATGGAGCAATAAGGGTAATCGAGGCAGTATGCACTGGACCTCAAGAGTTGGTGAGGTTGGATCTGTCATATTGTGGACTGACATCTCATGCTTTTGCCGAAGCATGCCAAGGCTTCGTTCTACTCGGTGGCATTCTGGAGATGAACATCACAGGAAACTCCATTAACCAAGAGGTTAGTCTTTGAAATCAAAGCATCTGTTAAATTACCGATTGTTACATTCTTCCCTTCTGGAAGTGCAGTGGCAGTTGTAAATCAAAAGGAAAAAAGTTGAGATCTGTCTTCATTTCTGAATATATACAATATGTGAACACTTCATAATAAGTTTACAAGATTATATAAATTTTCCTTTGACTTAAAATGGTCATGGAGAACCTTGTAGTCTTTGCTGCTTCTTCTGATATATAGTTGGGCAGATGACATTTTAACTTTGAACAGAAACACAATCAACAATCGCAAGTCAGTTTAGGTAAAATATGTAACTGCATTATGCTATTGTTAGTTTACCCACATCTAAATATGAAGCATTCTTTTATTATAATGTCGTAATCAGTGGTAATGTTATAATCAATGACTATTGCCATATGCAGAATAAACGAGGAATTGGAGCTTCCTATATTTTCTTTAATTTCACCTACATGTTATAATGTATAATTGGTTGGTTATCTGTAGTTATTTGATTCTTGGCATGTGTGGTTACAAGTTATCAATTTCCAAGTCGGGTACCGATCCCTGTTATGGTGCTGTGTAATGGGGAGTTCTTGATCTTAAAATTTGCTAGGACTTAGGTGCTAATTTGGATTTGTTAGACCTCTTCATTTGTCAACTGTGCCACCATTGTAACAGGTCCGTGATGCTTTGGCATCAGTGCTTATGGACCCCAAATGCAGCCTCAGATCTCTTATCCTGAGTAACTGCCAACTAGGACTGGTGGGAATGGTTCAGATAATTCAGGCATTAGCAGGTAAATAAAACCTTCACTCATGTCCTTTTCACTGCTTTCTGATGCATCTCTCTTCATCACATTGTCAGAGAATGAATCGTTGGAAGAGCTCCATCTAGCTGAGAACGCAGATGCCCAGGAAATAATTCCGCTGAAGTCTGATGTTGGTGGACTTGAAGTTGCTGACAGTGAAGATGAAGCAATCATGGAGGAGCAACCCCTCTTGTGCGGCCCTGATGCAAGCTGCGCAAGCTCATGCCGGAGGAGGTCGTCCGCGTGTGGCCAACCGATTCAGGAGCTGTCAGAGGCAATCACTTCTGCAAGAAATCTACAGATGCTAAATCTGAGTCGAAACAAGTTCTCACAAGAAGCTATTGACTCGCTATATGCGGCTTGGTCATCACCACCAAGATGCAATGATGGAAAGAGCCGTAAGCACGTTAACGCGGATATAGTACATTTCTCCGTCAATGGAAAGAAGTGTTGTGGTGTGAGACCCTGCTGCACAAGAGATTGATAGGCTTCCTTCTTTGAATGTTCTGTTTGACTTTGTTCATCTTACACATCTTAGGCATGACTATACGATATTTAGCCCCTCTCTCTCTCTCTCTCTCTCTCTCTCTCTCTCTCTCTCTCTATACCTCTTTGTATATTCCTCTCAAGTGTCAAAGTCATTTTAACCTTCATGGAAATTCTAATAGATAACTATGTAATTTCAAATGGTTATGATAATAAAGAGTTATTTTATGTTTGTATTTGCAAAGGGTAAGTGATGATAATAAAGAGTTGAATCATTGTTATTTTATTTTTTTAATTTTAAATTTAAGTTTACCATATGTATAGATATTATTAACATTGCTAATGTTAGTCCCAAGCTCGAAGAAAAAATATGGAAGGTTATGTCAGGTTATTGATAATTAACCTAAAACTATATTAGGTTATTGATAATTAACGTAAAATTGTATTAGGTTATTGATAATTAACATAAAACTGTATCAAAAGTAACGTGATATTTTTGCCACCTAAGTATCTTAAATTACAATGGTAGAATTCATAAATATTAAGATAAAAAAAAGAATAAATATTATTTGCTTACAAGAGATTAGGTGGGTAGCAGAAAAATCTAAAGAGATTATTATTGATAAGGATGTTAAGATGGTAGAATTCATAAACACTAAGATAAAAAGAAGAATAAATATTATTTGCTTACAAGAGATTAGATTGGTAGCAGAAAAATCTAAAGAGATTATTGTTGATAAGGATGTTAAGAATAGTGTTGTAGATGTAAAAAGATTTTGAGTAAGAATTATAGTTTTAAAATTTATTGAAAGAAAAAGATATTGAAAATAAAATAAAAGAGCATAAAAGAAGAAGAAAAAGAATACATAAGTGGAAAAGCAGAATATATATATATATATATATATATATAATTTGATATAAGATTTACTATCATTCAATAATTTTTAGTTATATATATTAAAAAAAATAATTATAAGATCTTAGATTTATCTCACAATCCCTTATACATTCTCTCATATAAATTCAAAAAAATTCCCTTTTAGAAAGATATCATATATATCAACTTCTCTGCAGAGTATAGTATAAAGAAAAACTTAGAAAGTATTTTTTATATCTTACTTTTCTTATCAATCTCATACCACCAAAATCTAGACATAACATAAAGGATATTATTATTAATAGAGAAACCAAATCTTGATTTTTAGGATTTTTTTATTTCAAATGGACTCTTTTTCATATTAGAATTATTTGTCCAACTAAACCATAAGCTGATGAAAGATTATATCACATATAACCTTTTCTTTCTCAAAAAAAAAAAAAAAGTGATCTTTCCTGATCCAATGACATCTCATCTTCTGTAGGGTTCTTCATATCAGAAACAAGTCTTCAGGTCAATGCTAGAATCCTCCCATTTCGATCTGATCCATGAATCCTACTAATGGCTCGTCGACGATGAGATATCTTTGATCGCTCTCCCGTTGTCCTCTCACCCTCTCTCCTCTCATCAAGAAGAATTTGGCGAGATCGACACTCTTTGCTACAAAATCCTTGATCTCCCCTGCATAAACATATTATACAAAGTCACACCATCATAGAAGAACACTTCTATTAGTCTTGTAGTCAAGATTAGAAGCAACAATTTCATAGAAGCCACTAGTAGAACATCGAGATAGATGATACACAATATAATACCAATATAGAAAGAGAGAGAGAGAGAGAGAGAGGTGATATGTTTCTGTACTGTTGAACGAAGATGTACCATCATGATGGTTAATCTGAGAAGCCACCTGTTCTTGACATGAAGTGACCTCACATTTAGAATCCAAGGAATGTTTATTATTGATCTCACATACTTACATGCATGTTTATTTGCTGATTCGAATCTACTTGATATATATATCATAGAAAAGAGGGGAAGGAGGAGGAGGAAAAGAAGCACAAACAAGTTTGTTGACCACTTACTACTGAGAGTGAAACTGAAGAGAAAGGAAGTTACCTGTACATGTAAACATCCTTGCAAGGGCTTAGCTCTCTTCTACACAGGAAGCAGCTCTTGAGGAAGTCAAACTCCGGCAAACCCTTGGGAAGATGGCAAGCCTGAGACACAAGCTTGCGTGTCATCATCATCATCATCTTGGCTTTGATCACAACATTGGTTGCTTGCTCCTTGTGGTGTATGAGAATGCGAAGGCCTTCCGATGGATGATGTCTCACGCACCTCCCTCCTACTACGCTCACTCTAGTCTCACCACCATCCTCACCTTGGTGGGAGTCGCTCTTGTTTCTTGAGAGCATCTTGGCAAGGAGAAATGGGATGAGTGTTGGGAGGGTGGGAGGAATGGTGTATACATAGAGACCACACACACAATTGGTGTCCCACACAACAATTCATCACCTCTTTCACATGGCATTATAGACAGCTTTGAAGTGGATTTTTTGTCTGCAGCTATAGCAAGCCGAGACATAGATACAAGAATAAATTAGGGCCGCAAAAGATCATGTGACATGTGCTTAATATGATCTTTAGTTTTCGATCGATCGATCAAGCAAGTAAATTTTTTTTTTGATTTTTCGAAACTTGATACTAGTATGATTTGGATTGATATTGGTATCCGTAAGGATGTGATATCCAAAATTGAAAACCTCCTCATAGAATCCTAGCAACAATCAATTTTTCTTCCCCCTTAACATCTTTAATATGAAAAGTCCATTTACTGCTTTCAATTCACAAAGAAACAAGAGTGAAGACAGCAATTCCATTTCACAAGGCATGAATGAAAGCATAATTTGAAGCTTTCTGCTTCTTTGTCACACTCTTCTCTCTCGAACTTTTCATTTATATGATCTGATCAATCACTGTCAGCAGTGGAACAAAACAAAAGAGAGTAGCACTATTCCTGTCTCCTGTGGATTGCACCTGCAGCAAGATGTTCTTGTCTCTGTAAGATATGGCTTTCCCAAGTATCTTGGAAGCATAAATAAGTATTCATACATCTTGGAAGTATAAATAAGTATTCATATAAATAAGATTCCATGAGCTCAGTTTTATTCCTTTGTTGCATTGGGCCTGAACAATTGGTGATCTATGGCATTCAAAGATTTCAAATGTATCAGTACAAAAAACAAGGGTTTCAATGATTTATGACAAGTTAACAAGAAAAAGAAAAAGGTTTTTTTTTTTTTACTAAAAAATTGGTTGGAAAGGCATATGTGTAAAATACACCATAGTTCGGATATATGATTATTTTTAGGAGTATGTCCAACTAAATCTATCTATCTATCTTTTTCAGACAAAAATTACAAGAAAAAAATTAAAGATATGACCTCCTATATAATCCAAAAAATGATGTGACTTCCTAACAACAGCACCAATGATATGGTTTGGCAAGATAATGTTTTCAAGAAAAAGACATTATATATATATATATATATATATATATATATATATATATATATATATATATATATATATATATATATGTATATGCTGTGGTTAGTACTAAAAGTTCAATTTCTTTTCATTCCTTTCTTTTTTATTTGTTTGTAGGCTACTGAAGGGTGGTGAGATGAGAGTTTCTCATGCCTAAATGGTGTAAATTGAACAGTGACAACTCATTGCTTTGGTGTCACAAGGCTGCTATATCCTAGGAAAAGACATGATAATTTTTTACTAGATTGAAAAGTTATTATTAGTGTCTTTCATGACTATGTAGATGTATTATGCACTAAAGGAAATGGCAACAAAAAAAGTAAGTTTTCTTCAGATTTTTCTAAGAAACCATCATCAGTATTTTTCAGGTATCTATCAAATGCTGCAGTAAGCTTGGCTGGGATGTAGACATTCATCTTATCATGTGACCCCCAAATATCTTTTCACTGATAATAAACTGCTGTGATCTCCTGTAATCTTTACCCTCTGTTTCAGATTTGAAATCCTCTACATCCTAAATTGTAGTCAATCTATGTAACTCCAGCTGCTGTAATCTTCTGTTCATCCATTTATGTAACTTTTACCTTTATAAATTTCAGTCTGAACAGCACATAATAGGTTGTAAATATGTTTCTGGTACTTTTCAGGCTGGATCATTTTTAGGCTAGAGTCCATATAAAGACCCCATACTAGCCCAGAAATGAAAGTTATTATTGGACTAACCATGAATTCATATTGGACTAAAGCTTTGTCCTACTGAAAGATGGTTTACCAACTTTTTTCTTGCCAATCACTTAAAACATATATGTCAACAACCTGTGAAGTTTAGCAATATGTGAAGCTTACTATGGAAAGACACATATATAGTTAGGCTTAAGCATCTGGCCAAAGCATGGATTAATCCTTCTTGCTGAATTGGAAATTGATTCAGATCCTAATTGTTGGAACAAACTGGACTAAAATTTTATGGAGGCCAATCGTTGCCGATCACTGAAAAACGATAAGAAACGAGGGAATCAGAATGAATCTGGAGATCCAGAAAAAAATTATTGATATCAGTTTACCAGTAGATGATGAATCTGGTCCCTTCTTCAATTTGCCCAAGATGTGATAAGAGAGGAAGAAGGAACTGTGTGGTGTTTCAGCATCTTGTGGGGTATGTGAATCTAGTGGTGCCTAAAAGGCAGATGTGCATCTCATGCCAGTCCATCAGATTCATGATCTCATATGCATACATCTACCAAACTGCATCAAAGCAAATAACACTGAGAAGGGTAGTCCTGGCATGAGAACATGAAGAAAGATCATTAAACAACTTGTTCAGATGACTGGTGATGAGAGAAATTTATGCACAATATTTAGAAGTGGACCTAAAGGAATACTAAAAAAAAAAGGAAAAGAATGATCCAAGTTTTCTTTAGGTATTATAAACCAGATTCTCCATACCTAAGTTTTTAGGTATTCTAAATATAATGTGAGCTTCAAACAAATGGTCTTTAGCATCCATAACAAACCAAGGCTGTAATTAGGTCTCAAAATGAGTTTTGTATGACACAAAGAGGACAACAACATATTCTCCATGATCAACCTGGAGATGAGATTCTACAGCAGAAAACATCTACTGTGTTTTTGACAGATGAAGTCAACTGTGGTCAAATGTTGGAAAGTCTAACACAAGTCTTTTCACCACTGTAAAAAAGAAAAAGATGGAAGGAATAAAGAAGCCAAGTTTCTTATGTATCTTATCCTCTTTTGCCAACTTCTTGCATAGGCAAACTAAGAACTTGATTCTCCCCTTTTCCAAAGAATGTAAAACAGAATATGTTGATGCTCATAGGGAGAAGATGTGCATATTTTAGATTTTTCATGTTTGTGTCCATATATGAATGAAAGCATATCAAATCCAAGTTCATGGAAGACTAAAGCAGAGCCATATCAACTAAAGTTTTGAATATATCCTTTTCTGATCCTGCTTTTGTAATGGAAACTACCAATACTCACTTTTGGATGAATTGAGATTTATTTTAAGGTTCATGTATGATTAAGAAAACTGTGAATCAAATTCCTTCTAGTTGAGATAAATCTTTCCAAGCTGGCTGTTTATCTCTCTCTCT